TTCTATTATGTTTATTTAACTTTCAAGTTAATTTATTGATGATGACTCTCGACAAAGTTCATTTTCGTTTTTGATACCTTTCACGAGTTCTAGTCCAGTATTTGTTTATGTCATTAAAGAGAATGCATTTTCTAGGAAATGCAGTTCGGATTGACAAAAACAAACAAACAAACAAAAAAAAAAAAAAAGGACATGTCAGGGAAGGAAACATTCTTCTTAAGTTCAAGCAAAAAAATTAAGGTTTTAATCCTGATGCTAGGAAAGTTAAGAGTAACCCGTTAGTTTACAATCAATTCTCTAAAAACTGTAAAACCATCATCTTCCAAAACCAAACCAGTTGGTGACATTTTAATAAGTTGCTGAAAATTTTCAATAGATTCATAAACTGGAGAGAGAGAATAAAAAAACGTCATGAGCGAGTCATTCCCTCAGAAAGATGCGGTCTCCATTTTGGTCTGATTTGACTATGACTTGGCTGCACTTTACCATCTTGTTATTCATTAATTTCAGGACGTCTTTGTTTTTGAATGTGTAAACTCTGTTTCCGAATATTAAACTGATCCACACGAAATGGAAAGTGCACTCTGCACCAGATGCTTCAGCAAGTAAGACCTGAACTTATTCTTACTTACTGTTAAATAATTTGTACTTGTTTCTGATATATTAGGCTGTTACACCCTCTTATATGCAGCATGTAGATGATGGGAACAGTATTATTTACTGTATTCATTTGAAAGGTTTTTCTTTTCACCTTTTTCTCTAGTTTGTTTGTGCAGAAGAATTGTTGAGCTGCAGACAATGATGAAAGTTTTGTTCCTCGTTCTGTGTTCAGGTAAGCATTGTTTTATTTGTCTTAATTTAAATCACGTTTGTGTTTGAGCACAAATATTTTATCTTACATATTTTTTTTTTTGTCGGATTAATAATAAATTTTGCCTGCAGTAATTTTAGTCGCTTTCCCTGTAAGAACCGCCTCGCGGTGAAAATGTGCACAAACCAATTAACTTTGCACAAGAAACATAGAATATACCTTACATTTCATCTTATAGAAGTGAAGCTCCTGTAAACAAACTTATTTATAGTACATTATTGTCTTTTTGCAGGAATTTTGCAGTTTTCATTAGCTGCATACCGTCTGCGATACTTTAATGATTATCCAGAAGAGAGACTGAACTGGACTGACGCAAAACAATACTGTGTTGAAGAGGGAGGATCATTACTGAGTCTGCATGATGAAGAGGAGGAGAGGATGATATTTAATTACACTAACCCCGGACCTGGGTTTTGGATTGGCCTCAAGAAGAAGGATAATTATACTCTCTTTTGGTCAAATGGAGAAATTGTCAACTTTACCAAGTCAACAGTAAACATTAGTGATGTAGATCAACTCTGTGAAGCTTTTGAAAACGGTTCATGGAAGGGTGTTAAATGTTCAGAAGAAAAAGCTTTCATGTGTAAAAGTGGTAAGTATAAGCCTGCATTTTCCTTTTTTCTGAAAAAAAAATTACTAATAAAGTTAAAGGAAGATAAATGTTGAGGGATAACATAGTAATAATTAGTGCTTTAACTAATGCAGGTACTCCCCTTTAATATGATAAAATTAATTTTTATCATATTAATCAATACATAAGTAGCTTTAATAAAAGTAAAATAAAAAAAAGAAAAGCTGGTTCTAAGTCAGATCCACTTGAGCCACGTCAATCATCATGGCGGTAACATGTGTTACAAGTCCTGGGTGTCAGAACTGCTGTAACACAATCTGAAGAGAAAATAAACAAGGAGTCAGCAATGATGACCAGCGCTGCTGTTGACATCCAGATTGCGTTTGTTTTTTTTTGTTGTTTTTTTTGCTGTCTTGTATGAGTAACCAAACTGAGCTCAACCTCTGTAACTATGGTAACTCAACAATCAAACAATGAATATTATTCTTTGCACTTTTACAAAGTAAACTTGACAATCCCTTTGAAACCACTTTGAATCTCTTAATGTATCACCTGAAATTATTGAGACAGTTATAGTCGATAATACCGCTCCTGTCCCCACCTCAGGAAAGCACTATAAATACAGACAGATCAACATGCCGAACTGCAAATGATTAAAAAAAAAAAACTAAATACTGTGGTGGCATTTTTAGGTGCACCACACATGGACATAAAAAGTAACATAAATATAACATCCATATCAGCTCCTTAAAAACAAAGAAGTGATGCGTACATTTTACTCTTGCTATTTCAATAAACCTATTACTGTTCATTTCCTGTTATAAAATATATTTCTTATTATTAGGGCTATCATCTAACAAGACACCAATTTAAAAAAAATGTAAATAGTAGTGAGTGAGAGTTGCTTCTTCCAGGGAAAAAAGTTGTCCTTCAGAGTTAACCCACTTTATGTTGCATATAATGAAGACTTGGAAAACACAGATAAGCTCCTGTACACACTGAAAGCTGGAAAAAATGTACTGATACGCAAAGGAGTTAAATTTTAAAGTGCCAATCCTGCACTTAAAAACACTGGTCAGTGTTATTTTGGTGAAACCCAATAACCCTAAGTCAATATTTATCTTCTTATGGATTTAACAGTTCAGTTCTATTCAATCAAGTTTATCATTTTGAAGTGTAAATTTACACACGTGCTCACTTGAATCTACTTTCTTTTTGTTTTTTCTTTACCAGGTGAAAATTTCGTCCTTGTAGACGATGTTGAGAGAAACTGGTGCCAGGCAAGGCAACACTGCAGAACACATTTCAACAATTTAGCGAGTATCATGGACGAACAGCAAAATGAAGACCTGCGACAAAAAAGTCGAGGAAAAAACGTTTGGATCGGGTTTCAGCATGACAAATATGAATGGGCAGACAAAAGTTGTTCAACATTCAGAACTATTAGTGATAGTTCTGACACATGTGTCTCTTTACATAACAATGGGAATGAGCTTAATTGGATTCCACTTGGGTGCAGTAATGTAAAACCAATCATTTGTTATAAAGGTTAGCTATAAATTTAATACATTTACTGGCAAATATTGTTATTGAGAAAATTTAGAAATGTTGTAATGCAGAATTAGAACAAATATGCACATTCATCTTAGACATTAATAAGCGAAGCAGTAAAGTTCCAAGAGAATATCAGTGCTATGTTATTGAGAAATAGTGTGACATAAATTTACCTTCTAGGCTCAATTAGATCCAGTAAAGTAAAGTTTAACATGTCATAATTTGGAGTTTTAATCAAATACACAAATAATCAATCCCAAATGCTAAAAATGCATCATCCTATTTCCAGACACTGTCAGCACAATTTATAGACAAGCTAAAGATTAGCATGCAGCAAAGGATTAAAAGAATTGCGTTGATGATCTAGGCGAGCCTTTCACTTTCTGTGAGTCTTATTTGTGTTTTTTGTCTTAATTTTCAGGCAATGTGAGAATCATAGTAATCAAGGAGCCCAAAACTTGGGAGGACGCCCTGAATTACTGTGAAGCCAGACATTCACGCTTTCTATGGATTGAGGATGAGGAGGACCAGAAAGCTGTTGGACAGTGGCTAAATTTCACTGTCACTGGTTCTTTGAAGCATTTGTGGATCGGTCTGAGGCAGAGTTCTGTCTTTGGGTTCTGGATTTGGAGTGACCGAATTGCAAACTATAAGAACTGGGAGAATGGAAAACAGCCTGAGATGGCTTTGTTCCGTCACTGTGGTGTGATTGATGCTAAAATCTTCGAATGGAGTGGTGAAGATTGTAAGCTTATGTTACCTTTCCTCTGTGAAGAGGATATAATATACATGAAGACCTAAAATTACAGCTTCATTCAACAGCTGAAAGCCTAATGATGTCATGTTACCACTTCCATCCATCTGTCTGTTTCTCTCTCTCTCTCTGT